TACTAATTAGCTTATTTAAATTTCACTTATCATTTACTTGTGTCATAGTAAATTTTAAATAAGCAAAAAAAAAAGGAAGAGAATTAATAATAAATTACAAATGAAAGACTCATCTACATTTATATCTAATATCGTAACTTTGTGAGTCATAATGATGATATATCATAAAATTCATCAAATACTGTAATATTGGACTTTAGTTAGTTCTTTAATTAAGGTGGTAGTTAATGACTTATCAATAATTTAAAATCAACCTTTTAATATTTCTATGCATTAGTTATATTATGAAATAAAATATAAATATTATTAATAATTATTAAAATTAAGACTTTTAATTTTTGAATTATTTATCTCATGGAACTTTCAATAGTTAAGCCTATAATTCTTTCCAACAAATATGGCCAATATCTAACTTCCAATATAAATTACACATGCTCAAGCCATTTATAATAATTTAATTCAAAAAATATAAAAATATTTATAAAAATATAATGAAAGAAGTATTAATATAATAATAAAAATAATAAATATCAATATTTTTATTTTTTAATAAATTTTAAATTATTGATATCAACTCTATTTCATCTTTGGATAAAATATTGATATATCTTGTGCTCACACAAGATTTTACAATTATGGAGGACTAATAACATTATTGTAGAATAAAATTACTATATTTGGTATACAACCCAAAACTACAAGGATATCCAAAATATTATCGTGTTATCCTATCATCTAATTATTTGAAGTAGATATTCCTCTAGGATTATCTAAATCTACTAATTATATGTATTATTATGAATATTATTTAAGGCTAATTTTTAATATAATTTTATAAATTAATAATCCAAACCACTTTAACGATAATAAAAACTAATATAATAATATAAAATATAATTTAAATTATCTTATAAATAATAAAATATTTATTATAATTCACATCCCATAAACCTATTATACTCGGTCACTTTAGTAGCTATTAGTTAGATAAAACTTAGGGATATAAGTTACAATAATATTCACCAAATATTCTTTAATTTAATTTATATAAAAATAGTTTATTAATAATAAAATAATAATTATAATATTTATTAAATATTAATCAGTATAAAATTAAACTTATATAATGACTATAATTATGATAAAAGATAAATCATGCAGTGAAAAATAAATATTATTTCATAATTTTAAACATATACATGTGAATAACTAAATAAATATTTAAAATAATTATTAGAATATAATTATCACAAGTAAAATTTTATGAATATGCGTATGAGAAAACTATAGAAAAATTATAATTTATATTTTTAATTTTGCATGGAACGTTAAGTTAGATCACTCAACCCTATTTAATTAGGCAGGCCTATAATTGGGCTAAATATCATCCCAATTAAATTAGTCAAAAATAAATTTGATCAAAGTCATATTTTGATCAAAAATTAATTTTTTTTTCAAATTCGATCAAAATGGGATTGATCGAAACTAAATCTAGTCAAGTAATCAAAATACATTCAGAATCAAATCCAATCAAAAATCGAGGATCGACAAAAAATTAGGGCTCTATCAAAATTAAAATTTGACTAAATTAAAATGGTCAATAACCGATAGATAAGCATTGATTAAAGTCAAATTTTGGTCAAAACTATAATTATGCTACAATTATATAAAAAAATTAATATCATAATCAAAATCAAATAATGATAGATCAAGATTAAGATTGTATACGTTTCAATACTATTTAAAAAATCTTTATATAATATACAAATGTACATCCGAAAGCTATAGTGATATCAATCTATAATAAGAACTAGACTTGCATTCTCCTCTTTTTTTGTCCTTCACAGGATTACTATGGACAATCGAACAGAGACTAAAAGAGATTGTGCATAGATTTATAATATTTATTTCCGATGTTTCGTTCATAAAAAGTTCTATCCTTTTATAAACGATGGCAACAAAGGGTTTGAGATAATAAGTAGAAGGTCTCTCCCATCATTATCATTTTCTAAGATATCTTAGATTTTATTTTTATTACTCAATAATCTTATTTAGAATTTAATTAAAATTTTAATATATCTTAACTAATTAATTAGGATCATAAAATCAAATAATAAATACATGTACATGAGAATTTTGTGGGTGATTATATGAGATATTTGTTGCATGATTGTTCGAAGCTTATAAAATCATGTGTGATTCCTCTTCTTTTGTCACGTACTTATTTCCGTTCGTGTTTTAATCGGAGGACACGAAGATTGCGAGGAGGTTGATCCACTACGTCACATACGTCACACGGGTGATGTATTATACAAAAGGTTGGTACACGACAACGACAACGAAGTTGCATGGCTTACGATACGTATGATGAAATTGGCAAGCAAAATTATGGATATTAGGAAAATGACAAGTTGTAAGAGAGGCGAACTATTTTTTTTGGGGGTCGAATTGTGATGTCACGAGTACCACTTTTTTGTCGGCCATTGGCCCACGCTACTGATAGAAAGGCAATTAATGCCACCGATAAGCTTGCAAGGATAAGATTCTTCCTCAGGTATTTTTTTATAAAAAAAAAAACTAATTGAAATACTTAAAAAAAAAATATCTTAGCAAAGCTAATTCGAACTCTCTATCTTTGCCCAATAATTGCAATAACTATTACTTTGTAAACATTTAATCTTTACAAACTAAAGTTGGAACTTGCTACGTTCGCCCTTTTGCCCAATAATTACTTGTGAACTTGCTCGATAATTACTTGAGAATTCATATATTTGTTACAAACTTCTTGAAATAAATTGTATAAACTCGGAAAAGGAAAGGGAAATATTTATGGATGAAGACAATTTGTTCATATTCTCAGCAAACAAACCCAGCCATGAGCACATGAAACAATCAGATGGCAGAATTTTGCAATTCAGCAGATAAACAAACAGTAAGCATCACATTTTTGAAGGTTTCTTTTACTCCATTTGCAGCTCCTAACTAGCTTATCCTGACACTCTTATAAAGCAACAGATGGAGAACATAAGCCTTGTTTTTTCCATAATTAGAGAACAAGATAATGTAGTCAAACCACATCCCTCGAGATAATCAGCAGAACTAGTCACTGAGGTGCTACTCCCCAAGTCTCAGCATGTTCCATGAAGAGTTTGATATTTGCAATACTAGTATCTGACAGAATGCCAGACTAATACATTGACATGTGTAATAGAAATTTTATTTACGATAAAAAAAAATCATGCAAAATGGACATATAAAAAGCACATAAGGAGTTTTTTTTCATTTTCACTACACACTTTTCAAATTAGCAGTACACAGAAATCTAAAATCACATTGTGATGGTAGGGCATGGAAAGAAGCCGGCACATAATGGAATAACTAAAGGGATGTGGGGATTCCAGGACCCCATACACTTATTTGACTTAAATTACCTAAGCCAAAATCCAGTATTTGATACGAGAATTTAAGGACAAGAAACAAGAAAAGAATATATATGATGACAATTCTTTTTAGTCCTCTATCTCAACGCCAACCATCCAAAAATTTAGCAGATATACCAGAAAACAATGAACAAAGGGGATACAGGGAGCTATATTTTAGCTCCATAACCAACTAATAGGGTTTCTAACTTACTACACCAGCATTTGACAATGCTCAACTAATAAACAAGTGCCTGGTCGTATGGCCTGCATGTTATCGGACTAGAGAAATGCCCGTACCTTTGTGAGTTTCATTGGTAGCATTGGCACCAACAGGCTGCTTTCTTTTAGCAGGCATCCAAGACTTGATCGCAGATTGTTTCTTTCGTCCTGAGTCGCCCACAGCAACAGGATCAACCAATGGTCCAGACCATGTTGTCACTCCCCCTTTCTGGTGGGGAAACACTGTACTGAATGAAGTTTCAGGGGGGTCAAATGCAGGATCCATATGATATGAGGACTCTAATGGGTAGCCAAGTGCTCCATCCTGGTGTGGTGGTGGGAACTTCTCACTCTTACTCTTTGCATTAGCATGTGTGATCAGATGCCTTCTCTGTTAGTAGCAAAAAACGCATGTTAACTGAGTAGCTCACAAAATTGTATTGGCAACAGAAGTTACAGATTCATCAATATATTAGAGATAACTAACAGCCACTTAGGGAAGTCATCTGTAGCTTCTATACATAGACTATCTTTCACCAAAACAATTTGAGAGAAGGTTAAAAAACACTACAAATTTAAGCCTGTTATTGATGGTCCTTGGGAGGAAATACTTGGCAGAGAAAAAGAAATCCAATAAGATCTAAAATTCATCTACTTGAAATGCAAGAAGCTCACTGTATAAAGTTTGTGTTGCCTATTCCCTCAATATAGTTCACACAGACAGAAGCCACTTAGATTTTCCATTTAAAGAAATGACAAGACCATGAATTCAACTTCCGGAAACAGAAGAAGCTCATTATATAGAGTTGTGTGTCAATTCCTTCAGTACAGTTTACAAACGCAGAGGCCATTTAGATTATCCATTTAAAGAATCATCAAGACCATGAATTCATCTACTTGAAATGAAAGAAGCTCATTATATACAATTCATGTAGCCTATACCTTCAGTATAGTTTACAAACACAAAAGCCACACAATTTTCCAGAAGAAAAATGCATAACACAGCAAGCAGAGCATACAGGAGACAATAAAAATTTAGTTATGGGCCCCAAAGGAATGAACACAACACTCTTAAGATATTAAGTCTAAATGGGAAATCATCTAGACAGTTATCTAGCAACATCAATGCTGCTTTGGCCTAACAAAGAAGCTAATCTGTTTAACAAAGCTATGATAGTTTAGTTTTAAGTCAGCTCTTAGACTGATTAAGGTTGTTTCCATGGTATCATGTAACCCCAAACTGTGAAGATTACCTTAGTTTCCGCCTTGATTGCAGGGCACTAGTTGTTTAAATCCAGTAGGTTACTTTCAATTGTCTAAAGACTCTAAACTATGCCTCAAAGGTGTAGTGGGTCCACGGTTACCAATAGATATGTGGTCTTCAACTATAGAAATGGATAGTAGTCCACATCAAATGTAGTCCTATAAGTGTAGTAACTTAAAAAGCGCTAGGCGCCAAAAGGCGCCAAGGTCCCAAAATGCTCGAGGTGCTTGCTCGAGAGAAACGAGACGCTCCAAAATATTAAAACACAAAAACCATTTAATATAATTAATAAATATGATTATTTAAATAAAAATATGACATTAAATTAAGAATCTACTATTAACAGTATATTACTTACTGTTAACGGTAGTTAGAGAGGGAGAAAAAAACTATTAATAGTAACAAAGGAGGATAAAAGGGTCACTGACAGTGGAAACCAACAGTGAAAAGTGGTAGCAGCAGCGGTAAAACGCTGGCAGTAGCAGCGATGAAGGATTATTTTAAGACAACCAAGATAGCGCTGCGAATGACAGCAGCAACAGTGGTGGAAGCTCACAGTGGCGGAAGCTCCAAAGGGTATCTGTCGGTGGCGAAGGAACATGCGGTCCTCTCCCTTGATAATGGAAGGAACTGTACATGGAGACATGACAAAAAGAAGCTACGGGCTCTTGCTAGGCCGTTGGACTTGTCTGTCGGCGATAGAGGAAGGCTCGGTCTACAGTGTCTACGGCAGAGGTAGTGGCAGAAAGCTTCGGTGGTGGAGGCAACAACAGAAAGCGTTGGCGGTGGAGGCAGAAGCAGCACTTGTGTTGGCTCAGGGTTGCGCGGTTCGATTGAACCAACTAACTACTATTGAACCGAACCAGATTTAAAAGTCTGGTTCGGTTGCCTTATTTGAATCGGATGCTCGCCCGAGGCACCCGGCACTTGGGCTCACCCATGAGGCGCTCGGGCCTTGCCTCGCCTCGCTCGAGCGCCTAGGCGAGCGCTTGAGCACCTATTTAAATCACTGTATAAGTGAAATTTTGACTTGGCCAAACAATAGTTACATAAAGTGCCAGGATAGTCCCCGATTAATTTCATTACTTTCAAATAATCTTCAGTAAAAAGTAACAGTTTTTTCTTGAACATACATCAAGGTTAACTTGGAGCTCAGCATTGGCCTCCAGGGGTGGAACTGCCCTAATCGCTCGATTAAATGTGTGTGTTCTCTTTGTAACATTGCTATTGGCCTTCCTACCAGCAGCCTTCAACCTGCATAAGTTAATATCACAGAATAATAGAGTGAATTTCAGAAATATAGTTAAGATGAATAATTCGTACATCACTTCACAGTTCATGTATATTGCAAAAGACAATGTAGATAAACAAATTCTCCAAGAATTGCCTGAGGAGACAAGGAATGAATAAAAGGATTTAATTTCACAAAGAAAACTTGATGTAAAAGGTAAAGAACGATACCACTAGCAATTAGTTCTGCAGACTAGGTGAAGAAAAAAGAGAACTAAATAGAAAAAAGAACCACCAATTTACTTAGTCCATTAAGAACATTCGATCACTGAACATGAGTGTCATTGTGGTACTTTCATAATACATCAGCCACATAGAACAATCAGATATATAACCATATAAACTAAAGGCTAACAATAGTGTCCAGACATTTAGAAAATCAGATCATTTTCTGAAGCAACAGAAACTAGACCCTGTTTGTTGTTGGAAAAAAACAGCAAGACCACACAAGAAAATTATTGAAATGATTTGATTGAAAGTGTCTGAAGCTCTATGAAAAATTCATTTGAGAATTCAATAGGAAAATGATAGAACCTTCTCGCTTCTTCGTTCCTCAATTTAGCATCCATCTCCTTGCTTGGAGGATATTTTGGCATGCTCGATGGCTCACATGCATATGGTGGAGTACTGAAGAACTATAAAAAGCAAAGCGTGTTATGAACTTGATCATCTACCAAGTAGAGAAACTGAGAACAAGAGATGTGTGTATGAACTGCTATAAAGAATGAAGCATGGTACCAACAACAAATGCAAATCTCTTGTAAGTTCGCATTAATTCCAACCCAAATCAGTAGGTGGAACCCTTTTTTGTGCAAGACTAATTTAGCCCTAGCTTCTATATTTTGATGCCAAACCAGTAAAATTATGATGTTTCTACTGTCCTGATGGCTTGCATATCTAAGCTACATCTTGATATGGACAGTAGTGATCATTGGTTGCATAAACTAACCCCTTGTTACTAGCCAATACGTCTCTAGATGGTCAATGCTACACACTGAAATTCTTTTGATAATCTTAAACCAGCCTTATTAGGCTTACTAAGAATGTAGTAGCAAGTAAAGTTTACAGTTTCGAATAATACTGCCCGATACAAGCGGTACGTATTGGTCCGATAGGATACTGGTACGCAGACCGCCTGCTACCGGGTGGAACGCTTAACATCGCCTTGTATCGGAGTTATATCGAGCGGTAACGATCGAAATTTCGACCATACATTGCTCCAACGGTCAAATTAACCGTTGGAGCCTTTTCTCATAGGTTTTTAAACTATTCTTCCCTCCTATTTCACTCAATTTCACTCTCATACTCTCTTAAACTATCTCAAACTCTTTTTGTCTCACATTTGCGCTCTCCTAAACTCTACAAAACAACGATTTATGAATTGAATCGAGACTAATTTGAGAAGATTAAGAGGAAGAAGTTTGTAATCAAGAGGTATGTATTCTCTTTCTTTAATTGGAGTGTAATTAAGATATTTAATATTATGATTTATGTGTTTAATGTTAACTAATTCAAAATTAGACACTTAATAGGTCAAATATTTATATTTCATGTATATTAAATATTGAAAGATATTTATGATAGTAAAATAAGTTTAATTAAATTTTATTAAAGTTATTGAACGTTACGATTGATCATTTTAATAATGATTTAATTGAAATTTAATCGATTTTATGTCAATTCAATGTCTTTAATACCCATTAGGGTGTTTGACATGTTTGGTCAATTCAATATGTTTAAACTTTATAGCTCATTTGATTTAAATTTGGTAGGATCATGACACCAAAGGAATAGCCACGTGATGATGCATGGGTTCATGCTCGAAAGATAGATGAGAACCGTCATTATTGGCAATGTATTTATTGTGACTACATTGGCAAGGGCGGAGGAATAACTCGGGTGAAGATGCATTTGGCCGACGGGTATCCTGATGTTACAAAATGCAAAAAGGTTACGACGGAGATCCGTAAATTATTTCAAAACAAGCTACAACAAGCAAAGAAAGATACATTAAAAAAGAAGGCAAGAGTTGACGAAGAATATTATAGGGCTACGCAGGAACCAATTTATGATCAGTATGAGGGTTACGACAATGAAGTCAGCTCGGATCTCACAGCTAGGGTTCGTGCATCATTAGAGCATCAATATATGGTCAATGAAGTAATGAGACATCGACGACCTGACTCACAATTGGAGTATGATAGTAGTAGTAAAATCCAAAGGTCGACCAACATGAGGCAACCAACTGCTCCTCCTCAGTTAGGCCGAACTAGTAGCATGAGGTATGGTGGACTTCGTGATTTTATGAAAGGTCTTGGCAGGAGGTATGCACCAGATATTGTTGATATTACTCCGTAAGTCTATCCCTCACAAACAGCAAAACAAACATGGATTGACGATGCATACACAAAAGAAAAGAAGCGGGATATTGGGAAGGCATTTCCACAGGATTCCAGCCAACACAGCACAAGGTCCATATTATCAGAGCTTGGTCTCTTATATTCAAAAGTCTGGAACGGGGATCCAACCTCCAACACCGAAGGAGATTTATGGCGTGTACTTAAATGAGGAGATGGCAGAACTGAATGATTGTATCAAATCCTTCAAGAGACAACAGGATGAATATGGGGTGATACTGATGTGTGACAGTTGGACAGGACCAACAAGAATGAGTATCATCAACTTTCTTGTTTATTGCAACAGAAGAGTGGTGTTTCATAAGTCAGTTAATACTTATGAAAAGATCCAAGATGCAAACTATATTGAGAGCTTGATGGACACTATAGTAGAGGAGATCAGACCACAGTATGTTGTCCAAATAATAATCGACAATGGAGCGAATTTCAAGAAGGCCGGTTTGCAATTGATGGAAAAAAAAATGTTTTGGACTCCATGTGCAGCTCATTATATAGATCTAATGCTGAAAGATATTGGTGAGCTGGACACAGTTAAGAATTGTGTAGCTCGAGCACAATCAATTACAAAGTTTATATATAATCATTATTGGGTCCACACTTTAATGCAAAAGTATGTAAACGGTGAGATACTCCGACCTGGAGTCACTCGATTTGCTATCAATTTTTTTGCATTGAAGTCATTACAACAAAAAAGGCATGGCTCGAAAACAATTGTCACCTCACAAGAGTGGTCTGATTCCAGAGATTCTAGATTGAGTGATGGAAAGAAGATAGAAAAGTTCATTTTTTCCTCTAGATTTTCGGAGACCGCGGCATAAATCATAAAAGGTGTGGAACCACTTTATATTGTTCTCCGTAAGGTCGATATGGACAAGCGTCCACAGATGGTGTACCTTAAATATATGCTAATTTCAACAAGAGAAGAGATCAGGAAAGCATTCAAAGATGATTTTAAGGCCGACCAATACGTACGGATCATTGATCATCAGATCGAAGTTCATATAGATCAAGATATCCATAATGCAAGTAAATTCATATTCAGAATAATTTAATTTATTATTTTTTATACAATAAAAAATCATACTAACAAAATTATGTTTTGCAACGTATTATTTAAGCCCGACAATTCAATATCAATATGCTCTCGGAATGCAAAATGATTTACTAACGACACTACGAAATGTTATATATCAGCTCTTGCCAAACACTACTGATGCAGCCGATGCTCTTATTGAGGGTCGATTATTTTGAGAAACAATTGATTCATTCTCTGACGTTGTAGCTATACCGTGTCGTTACACTATGGATCCTGGTGAGAAAAAGTTACACATATTGACTATCAATTATATTTGATGTTAATTATTTATTATGCTAATAAAATCTTATTTATATCTTTTTGCAGTCGAGTGGTGACTACAATTTAAGGAAGGTTGCCGTTCGTGTACTTTCACAGACGACAACATCTAGTGGTTACGAATGTAATTAGTTAACGTTTGCATTGATTCACACAAAGGTTTGTAACAAACTCTCGTATAGACAGTTAGAGAAACTGATATATATCCATTATAACATGCGGCTAAGGTTGCGATGTGCTGAGCTGGATAAAGGAGCCAGAGAAACCAAATATTGATCCCATCGACCTCCAATTCTACAATGAAGATTCAAAGCTGATGTTAGATTGGGTTGAAGTAGCAGAGAACCAAGAGGATCCTCTACTTGATGAGGTGGAAGATCCTTAACGTCCTTCGCGTTTTATCACTGAGGCAATGAAGAATAAGAAGCACAACCTCAACAAGTGGAAAATCCCCCTCGATCATAACGTGACAAGAGTCAAACAACATCGAGTCAAATTGCTCGAGGAACTACAGACACCCAACGGTCACAGTCGTCCACCCAGCGTGCAAAGGAAAAAGGGAAGGCAGTAGCATCAGTCGCATCGTAGGATCGAATCAGGCGACGAGACACCTTCACAATCACATTCAACAACTAGCTCGGTCCAGAGACATGACAGCAACACAGATAACAATGCCTCGACGGATGATGGCGGTGATGCCGGGCAGTCGTTGGTCTCGCCTACACAACTTGAGGGTGATGCATGGACCGAGAAGTAATATTTTATACATGTCACCCAAGATTCAAATCATGGAACTCGACAAGGTACTGGTCAAGTTTATGCGCGGAAGGGGAAGGTAGTGGATGAATTTGAGCAGGCGACAAAGCCTACATGATGTAGACACAAAACGAAGCTCGTCGTATTCACAGTCGTCGTATTATGGAGAATCATATGGCCAACAACACCACGGTGATAGTTGGTCATACTTCTCCGAGCAACAGTATAATACAGAGCAGTAGATCAATAGCGAAAGTAGAAGCTCTGACATTCACCAATATATGCCTCATGAGCTGCCTCGGACAAATGTGATTTATGATGATCAGCCTACGATCATCACCACATTGATGCACCAATGACATACGGTGTATCAATACACTATGTCCTGGGATCAATTTTATGATTAGGTCCAACAAACATATTATATTGATATGCAGATGTATAGGATTGAGGACCCCAATCCGCCACCCTATCATGGCCTTAGCTGGAATTGCCTAAGGCGTGATGCACCCTTGCGGCCAAGACGCGAACTTAGCTTGCGTTGCCTAAGTCACGAGGCACTCTTGCGGCAAAGACGCGAACTTAGCTTGCGTTGCCTAAGTCGCGCTTCGCCCTTGCAATATTGTTCCGCAAAGATCAGCCCACTTGCAACCTCTCGCAGGTCCCGAAGGACCTGTAAAAGAGAAAGTTGATTAGTTCGAAAGAACGAGCGACGGACAAGTCCCGACGTCTCGCGAAAAGGGGAAGCTTTACAAGCAATTCAGCAAGCACCATGCGTGCACAAGAGAAAAGAGGGAGAGGGGGAAAACAAGGACTTTAGAGGGTTGAGCGAACAACTGCAAGTTCACAAACAGCTGCTCACCGGGTGCCGGGCGCGACAACAAGTTCCCGTCAAGGTAACGTGCGAACTTGCGAAAGGTTGTTCAACGCCCGACACTATACCGAAACCCCATCCAGCCCTGTGCCACCCGGGGGTTTCAAAGGGGCTGAGATGACCGACGTTTTGGTGAGCGGAGGCGGGCTGCAGAAAACAGCCCGCGGCACACGAAAACGGAGCTGTTTTGGGCTGTTTTTGGGCTGTTTTGCTCGGTTCGGTGAGCGATCGCTT